ATCGGAAACTGCAAACTCTTGGCCGCTGAAACGGAGTGTGTGAACTTAACCACTAGGCCACCGTGCCGGCCCTCTTTGTAATACTCTCGCAACTCTTCTGTAAGTTTGAATCATTTCAAAGTACAAAGAAAAAAAATTAAAAAGCAAACAAGAAAACACATGGCTCCTTTGAGAAACGCAAGTCGCCGTGTCCTGTAATGTTGTTTGAAATTACCAAAGAAATGAAGTAGCGTGGCCAAAGGCAGGTCATTATATGGCAAGATCCAGGAGAGCAGGTGTTAGAGACCTAAGTTCTGGCACAGTGCCTGGCACATAGTGGGCACTCACTGAATATTATTTGAATGAATGAAATCAGAGCAGCAGTAATTTGAAGTCGACTTCTCCCATTGCACAAGTGCCTTGCACCCGGCGGATTTGGAGGGACTCCCCAGACATGCCTTTGTGGACTTTCTGACCATCACCGAATGGAAATCTTGTCTCAGGGACCTTGCATTACAGTTAGTATAATGGAAGAGATTGAAACCCTAATTTTAGACTTCTTGCTGATAAAGGCACCCTGAAGGATCAGGCAGAGCATTTCTCCTGTATTGGTTCCCATTTAAAAAATATGAAATCTCCCCCAAAAAGTGTTTAGGTAGAAGCTAGAGCGACTTTTACTGTGGTACAAATATACATAACATAAAATTTACCATTTTGACCATTTTAAGTGTACAGTTCAGTGGCATTGAGTACATTCACATTTGTTGTGAAATCATCACCACTATCTGCCTCTAGAACTTTTTCATCATCCCAAACTGAAACTCTGTACACATTAAACAATTACTTTTCTTTTTTTTCTCCCCAAAGCCCCCAGTACATAGTTGTATATCCTAGTTGTAAGTCCTTCTGGTTCTCCTGTGTGGGACACTGCCTCAGCATGGCGTGATGAGCGGTGAGTAGGTCCTCCGCCCCAGGATCCAAACTGGCGGACCCGCGGCAGCCGAAGTGGAAGGGGCTGTGCCACCGGGCTGGCCCCTAAACAATCACTTTTATTGCTGTTATTTGCTTAGCAAACCATTTGTTCTACAGAATTATAATTGTTGCCTTTAGTAATAGCGGGCTACAGGACTCCAAATCTAAAATCAGTGGCACCAAAATTAGAGAACTAACTTAAATTTAATCAGTTATCTTGAAAGGGAACACTTAGAAATTTAACAGGAACATTTACTGCTAGTTTACACAAATTAACTGTCCCTAAAGATTATAACTTACATACTATAATATATATTATTTAAAATGAAATATAAGAGCTCTAAGGCTTTTTTAAAACTTCTTAAAAATTAACTTTATGGAGGCATAATTAACAGACAGATGTACCTGTTTTTTGTGTATAGCTTGATGACTTTTGTGTCTTTTTTTTTCTTTTTTTGTGAGAAGGACCAGCCCTGAGCTAACATCTAATGCCAATCCTCTTTTTTGCTTAGAAAGACTGGCTCTGGGCTAACATTCGTGCCCATCTTCCTCTACTTTATATGGGACGCTGCCACAGCATGGCTTAACAAGTGGTGCGTCAGTGTGCGCCTGGGATCCGAACCAGTGAACCCCGGGCTGCCACAGTGGAGTGCGCGCACTTAACTGCTTGCGCCACCGTGCTGGCACCATGTGTCTTTTTCTTTTAATACAAATACCATTGCCCCTACCCCGCACCCCTTTTGGTTATTCTGTTTTAATGACTTATTTTTTCTAGTTATAAAGGTATTATTTCATGTTCCTTATAGAGGACTTGGAAAATTCAGAAGAGGCTAAAGAGAAAACAAAAGACATCGGTTAATTGCTCAGTACCCCCATCCCAAATTATTAGTGTTGTCTCTCTCTCTCTTCTTTTTGAAAACAGACTGTTTTTTAGAGCAGTTTTAGGATTACAAAATTGAGCAGAACCACAGAGTTCCCATATACCCCCCGTTTCTCCCCTCTAGCCTCTTTTGTTATATTTTAAATTATGAAAAGAGCGTCTGCCTGCTAATATAAAATTCAGAGCCTTCCCAGCTCTCAGAGGTCACTTTTCTCCTGAAGCCTTGCCTGGCTTCCTGGCCAGTGCAGATCCTGGGAACTTAGGTTCTCCCACACTGTCTCTTTGGTGGCTCATGACACTGTCGTGCCGCAGCCACGGGGTTTGTGGGTACTCAGTAGGTGCTCGGTATTTGATGGCTGAGCCAGTGAGTAGATTTGCACAGTGTCAGAACTTGGTTTATTCTAGACTTGCTTAGAAGTATTCTTTTTGGGGTGAATTCCACATGAAGACTATAAAACGGCTCTGGCAAATAAAAAAAATAAAGCGCTGGCTCTTGATTAAACATTAACAGAGGGAGGTGCCTCTGGGCGTTTATGCACCACGATGGGGGTTTATACCAATTTGCGGGCAGCTTTCACGTCCAAGCAGGTTGTCTTCTAACTCTTTGTGGGTGAGTTTTTTTGACCTTGGAATGTGTTCTCCTTTTGAAATGAGGAATAAGGATTAAAGAGGATGGTTCCTGGGAAGGGAAGAGAGCAGAGAATTCTCTCCCAGGTGGTGAGAAACACAGGGAGAGGTGGGGGGCGGGGCATAGATGACACATGGCCTTTGAGGGAAAAGTCTTTTGTGGCCGTTTCCACAAGTCGTGAAGGTTCAGAGATGCTCATTTGGTTTCTGAGCTGGGGAAAGGGGAGGCAGTAAGGGGTGCAAGAGTAACTCCCGTTCTTATTTGGAAATGGATAGTTTTACGCTGGGGAGGGCCTGCGTTCTGTAAGCTAGCGTGCAACCTTATGGTGTCTATTTTAGCCTTGCTTTCTCGTTTAGGTCAGTTGGATCTGAGTAAGGAATTTGGCCAGACAACAAAATATTTAAACTCATTTCCCCTATTGCATCTCATTTCCATAGTCTGTTTATAATCCTAATTGATGCAAATGCTCTTGTTATCTTGAATGTGAATTGAATGCAGGGTTCTGATTTGTTTAATTTTATATCCTGTTATTGAACATGGTGAGTGTAGCTGAGGGTTTGAATGACAGGCTGAGTATGGCTGGTGATGAGCCTTATTTTATGTGGTACCTCTGACACCCTGGGCTACAGGGAGGTGCTTTTAGTTAAGAGGCTGATAAAACCTAGAAACAAGTTCAGGAAGGGACCTCTGAGGCTCCCTATTTGCAGGATGCCTGGATCTTGAGCTATTTACTCTCATGGAAGCTTTTTTGTTTGTAATTTCTTAAACATTCAGTGCAGTGCTAAGATGGTCCTCTCTGTCCCAGGGAGATTGAAAGAACGGTTTTACAGTGGAATACATCAGACCTCAGGAGGGAGAGTTGATTTTTAAGTGATAGGCAGCTTTCATTCTCTGCATTTAAGAGAACTTGATTTTAAGTAGCCTTGTGACCGCATGTCACAGCTTGGGAATAATCCTGACATTTTACTTATATCCTTTTTCTGGAAGCATTTTCCAAAATAAATAAAAATTGCTTAACAGTAAAAGGCCAGGGGAGGCTAACATTTGCCTTCACAGGGCATTATTCTGGGGCCCTGAAGGTCCTCAGATGAAGTTGTTCAACCCTTGTTTCACAGGTGAGGAAACATCCCCAAAGAGATGACATTTAATCAAAGTTACACTGTGAGGGGCCGGCCCAGTGGCTTAGCGGTTAAGTGCGCGCGCTCCGCTGCTGGCGGCCCGGGTTCGGATCCTGGGGGCGCACCGACGCACCGCTTCTCCGGCCATGCTGAGGCCGCGTCCCACATACAGCAACTAGAAGGATGTGCAGCTATGACGTACAACTATCTACTGGGGCTTTGGGGGAAAAAAAAAAGGAGGAGGATTAGCAATAGATGTTAGCTCGGAGCTGGTCTTCCTCAGCAAAAAGAGGAGGATTAGCACGGATGTTAGCTTAGGGCTGATCTTCCTCAAAAAAAAAAAAAAAAAAAGTTACACTCTGAGTTTGTGGCAGAGTTAGAACAAGAAACTGGTCTCTGCTCCTCAGACAATTTTGGAAAAACTCCAGAAAAGTGATGCTAAATACAGTCTCTCTGCCCTGTGGTTTTGTTTTATAGCAAAGAATACCCACTGGCTTCTCATTATCTGGCTGGTGCCCTGAGACGCATTTGATGTTCTGGTTTATTTATTAGCTGTTTTCAATGATGGAGAAAAATTTCGAAATGTGCAGAGAGCTTCTGTCCAACCCTGTGTTCCTGGGGTATTAAAAGATGGTGTTTAGGATATCTTATCTCTGAGTCTGATGCTAATTTCCTATAATATATAGCAAAGCAAACTCGGTTTAATAGTAGCTTTCAGTAGCCAAAGTTGCTTTTATTTTATTTTCCAGATTATGAATAAAGAACCAGCCTTTAGGACTGCTTCTAATCTGTCAGTAGATAGCACGCTGTTTATGGTGCTGCTAAAATAGAAGACACACTTCTAAATTCAGCAAGTTACCTAGCTAAATTTGATTAGACTGCATTAAAAATGTGAGACTTTTCTCTGTGGGCTGATATTTCCTAGCGGTTCTTTAGGACAGAGTGTTCTTCAGTTGCTTGGGAGCAGTTTTAGGCTTGTGGGCCTTGGCTTGTGGGCCAGTGTAGCTTGTTTGTTTCCGTTGCACACTCCTCTACTCTGGATGAACTGCTGTTTTGGACTGCACTTACTGAAAGTGTCTTTTAGGACCCTTGCTCTCAAGAGATGGTATTTGACCTTTGGGGGACACTTCCCATCGTGTGTTAATGAGCTTTCCATGTGCTATAGTGGGTCTTACTCTTTGGTTTAGTACTGGTTTAGACTAAAGAGTCAACAAACTTTTTCTGTAGAGGGCCAGATAGTAAATAATTTCAACTCTGCTCTTGTAGCAGGAAAGCAGCCATAGACAGTATGTAAATAAATAGGCATGTGTTCCAATAAAACTTTATTTACAAAAACAAGTGGTGGCTTGGCTTCTGTGGATGATGGAGAAAGGAATCTAGTATTCGGGACATAAATATCTCAGTTGAGATTTAGCATCTGTGGTGGGGAAGATGCTTTTGTATTATTTTTCAATAACTTTTCAGTTGATGTAACAAAAATAAAGGCTTCTTTTGGGAAAAAACGCCCCTAATCCCACCACTCTTATTACAACTGTGTTTTCATTTTTGTACATTTCTTTTGAGTTCTTTCCTCTTGTATATCTACTTTCACAAAGTCCCGATGTGTGTACATACCAGCTGGTATTCTTAAAGAGCGTAATGCACCCACATGTCTGACAGTTGTTAGTACATTGGGATCTAGTGAAGCCTAAAAGATATAAACTAGATTCAGCAGGGAAGATATTTTTAAGGACTGATTTATGAGGAGCACTGTCATTTTCTGTGTTTTCAACTTCTTCAATAAAAGTTATAATTCACTCTTTATGTAAGCCCTGAAAAACAGCAATATCCAGAGGACTACCTATTGGAAGAAATCAGGCCAGGGCTAAAGTAAAGGAGGTAATTGGCTATCCAATGGCAAAGTCACACTTTAGCTGTAGCTCTCAGTTAACTTTGTGGTCCCCAGGGTTTCATGGTGGCATGAGAGTTTCAGCATCCCTGACAATGGCCACAAAGGCTGGACTGTAGCAGATTTTTAATTTTTATTTCCTTCTTCGTTGGTGCACATACAATAAACCAAGAAACAAATGACCACACTTCAGTCTCGCTCTATATGATGGATTTTATTTTACTTATTATTATTTTTTTAATTTTTGTTTATTGCAGTAACATTAGTTTATGACATTGTAAAAATTTCAGGTGTACATCATTGTACTTCTATTTCTGCATAGATTACATCATGTTCACCACCAAAATACTAATTACAGCCCATCACCACACACATGTACCGAATTATCCCTTTCACCCTCCTCGCTCCCCCCTTCCCCTCTGGTAACCACCAATCCAATCTCTGTCCCTATGTGTTTATTTATTGTTGTTATTATCTACTATTTAATGAAGGAAATCATACGGTATTTGACCTTCTCCCTCTGACTTATTTCACTTTGCATTATACCCTCAATGTCCATATATGATGGATTTTAAAGATGTATTTTTCTAAAAAGGAATTTCTAAATATGTATATCTAAGAATGGCAAGATTCTTTTTTACAACAGTGCTACCATTAATGAAATTGTTTTGAAGCTCCTTTTTCAGAATTGCCCTCAGAATAAGTTACAAGCCATAGCAGAAAAGAAGTCTGCCTGTACTCTTACTTCATTTTTGACTAAAAATGGTATTAGCCAGGGCAGCTCCCTCACCTTGGCCGCCACCCGTGGCTCTGAGTTGCTTTCAGCTGTTTTCAGATCTCATAACCATGCTCAGAGTACTTGGATTGAGCTAAAGGTTGTGGGTAATGACAGTAAGCCAGGAGCTTCTGAGGGTATTTCTTTGGAGGGAACAAAAATATTTATTTCTCTGTGTAAGTTGTGATAGTTAAAAAAAAAAAAAAAAAAAGTCATGCCTTTGTACGCCATTAGGCTGTCCCCAGACCGCCATGCCAACGTGGCTTTTGAATGAGATCATTCTGACATGAAGTGGCCTCCCAGATTGAACTGCTTTATTCTAAACTCCACTCAAAAGGCCCTCATTTTTATGTGCTCTCTTGCCCCTGTTATCTGGGAAATTTAAAAGGATGTTCTAGGTTTGCTTCTTTGGGAGACAGTGTATATATTGATAGAAGCTGACAGACTGCAGTACATTCCCTCTACTCCTCTTGTCTTTGCCTGCCCTCCCTCCAGCATGGAAAGTGGGAAGCTTATGTCCTGAACTAGGGAGTTTTATTGTCTGGCAGGCAGTTGTATAGGCTTATAACTTAGGAGGCAGGCTCAGAGCTGTTTAGCAGGCATGCTGGTTAGGATCTTAGTTGCAGATAGTAGATTCCTTCTAAGCCTTCTAAGTAGCAGGGAATTTATTAGAGAATTTTACAGTATTTCTGGGAGAACAAAGCTTCAGTGCTGTGTGTTTGACAACAACACAGCTTGTCTCCAACCAATTCCAACTATATCATGGTTCTAACTTACTTCTGCCCCATTACCTGTGACCCTAGAGGCAGAACACTAAAACCTCTGCCACAGCTGCTCCAAGGAATCAGACACACCTACGACTGTCTTGCTGAAAGTTCTGACCTTCCAGCATGTGGCTACTGCCTCCTGTTGTTCCCCTCTGCCTTTCAAATCTTGCATGGGTGTGTCTGCTTGGAAGAATCTAGCTGCAAGGGAGTCAGTGAAGAGAGTGTTTATTTAGCTTTCTATCCTCTGTAGACTGAGAAGGGTGGATGGGCTTGAAAACTGTTGGATGGTGCAGAATGAGACACTTTGCAATATTTGTGACCAAGGGTGTGTGCATAGAGGTGACAGCTAAATCTCTGGTGGATAGATTCTTGCAGTGAAAAGAGCGGAGGGAAGACTGAGTGTAGGAGACTCATGAGGGCTCTTGGGAAAATTAAGTGACCAAGATTCAATGCAGCTGTCAGTGCTGTCACCAGGAGGGTGGCTGCCCACTATGACAGGTGGCATTGCTGGGTGGGAGTGGCTGCTGTGCCATACCTGTGCCCTTGGCCTTAGTAAGAGGGAAGAAGTGCTGGGCTCATGGTGTTTTTTCCTATGTAGCATTGGAGTTTTGAGGCTGGCAGAATCAGTTTCAGATTGCAGCCTGTGTGACCCTAGTTAAGTTATTACACCATTCTGATATTTGCTAATCTATAAAATGGTGATATGTGTACCTTGCAGGGAGGTTGTGATGGTAAATCAGATAACATGTGACTGTCTAACATACACTATGATGTATAGTAGTCGCCCAATAAATTACTACTATTATGCCCTGCTTTGGCGTCTTTCTTTTTTCCTTTTGTCTGAGCAACTCACAGTTGCCTTAAACCACAGTGCATACAGTAGCTTCTATGCTTTTTCTAGCAGTTAGCTTACCTTTCTCACCTGCTGTATGCCTAACTTTCCCCCACTGCTCTCTGAACATTTTATAATGAAAAATTTCAAACATACAGGAAAGTGGAAAGAATTGTACAGTGAACACACATATATCTATCATCCAGACTCTCTAATTAACATTTTATTATACCTGCTTTATAATTTTATTTATTTATTTATTTTTCCCCCAAAGCCCCAGTAGATAGTTGTATGTCATAGCTGCACATCCTCCTAGTTGCTGTATGTGGAACGCGGCCTCAGCCTGGCTGGAGAAGCGGTGCGTCGGTGCGCGCCCGGGATCCGAACCTGGGGCCGCCAGCAGCGGAGCGCACGCACTTAACCGCTGAGCCACGGGGCCGGCCCTCTACCTGCTTTATCACATATCTTTCCATCTATCCATCCATCAACCCCTGTTATATCTTTATACATTTCAAAGTAAATTGCCAACACCAGTACACTTCCTTGTAAATATTTTAGCGTGCGTGTTATTAATAAATATCACTAGTGATATTTGTTTGCAGTTTTTTCTTTTGATGTAAAATTTCATAATGAAATGCATAAATCTTAAGTGTGCATTTGCTCAGTTTTGACAACTGCGTACACCTGTTAGCCCAACCCCTATCAAGGTATAAAACATTACCACCTCCCCAGAAAGTTCCCTAGTGTCCCTGCCCCTCCCATTGCAGGCAGCCACCGTCCTGATTTTTTCACCACTGTAGGTTAGTTTTGCCTATTCTACCTTTTCATATGAATGGAATCACACAGTGTGTTCTCCTTAGTGTCTGGCTTCCTCTAGTCAGCATAACATTTTGAGATTCATCTATGTAGTCATGTCTTATCTGTGTAGCTTTTATTGCTGAGGCAGCAAGCTTTAAAATTATGCCTGATTGCTGCAAAGAAGGAAGAACATAAGCCTTCCTCATGGAACTTGGAGGTGGTTTCTTCTCCTTTCCAGCCTAATGTTATCAACACACAAAGGGTCTTTGCAGACGATTAGAGTTAAAGGGGCTTAGAGGCCATTTAATTCAGTCCCTCTCCCGGTCTTTGGCATCTTGGCCAGGGCAGCCATCTTTCTGATCTGTTTCTCCTCCCTCTCGCAACTAGTGTTAGTGGGAATTTATGTGCAGGAGGAGTGGGAGGGCTAGTGTATGGGCACCTTAGACATTTAATTGTTTTAGGGTTGAAAAAAGGATGAATCCAGCCTTCTAACGATTTTTGTTGTTGGGGATTTTATGCTGAGTACATGCTAGAAATATAGAACCAGTCGGCTGTTAACAGCTGGAGTTGGAAACAGATTCCTATTTAACTTTTCTGTTAATGAGTTAGCCGGGACTCTGAAGCTGCTAAATTCTCTGATGGAAAAAGGAGTCATTCTCCTGCCTCCTGTCCCCGATTCTTCCCTCCCTCCCTCCTTTCTTCCTCCTCCTCCATCTCTCTGTCTCTCACACACACACACACACACACACACACACACACAATCCCCCTTTTGCACATATTTACATATAGTGACTTGTCTGAAAGTTGAGATAGATCTTTTTTGAAGGTAAATGAGATGTTTGAAGGGGAGAAGGAAAAGGGTTGGAAAAGAATGGCCACTGCTTGATCATAGGGAGGCAGTACCCACTCTACGGGGGTAGGTTATTAAATAGTGTGATGTGTGGCACCTGAGTGTTGGATACAGCAAGGCTCCATAGGTGCTAGTTCCTTCCTTGTTTCTGTCCTGTGCAGAGGTTCTGGAACCTGCCTGCATTTTACGAGTATTGGGGAAGATTTTACAAAAACATCCCCACCAGGTCCCACCCTGGCCCAGTTGAACCGGAAAGTGGGCCCCTCCCCCAGCCCGTTCGAATGTGCAGCCTCAGTTTATAGTTTTATTTATTTATTTTTTTCCCCCCAAAGCCCCAGTGGATAGTTGTATGTCATAGTTGCACATCCTTCTAGTTGCTGTACGTGGGACGCGGTCTCAGCATGGCCGGAGAAGCAGTGCGTCGGTGCGAGCCCGGGATCGGAACTCGGGCCGCCAGTAGCAGAGCGCACGCACTTAACCGCTAAGCCATGGGGCCAGCCCTAACCCTAAATCATTGATTTTAAACTGAGGCTGTAGGGCCGGCCCCATGGCTTAGTGGTTCTTTTGAAAACAGAAATTTTTATTTGTTTTCATATTATCTTTGTTACGCTTTCCACTCCTGACATCTGCTCCGTTCACTGACAGAAACAGCTATCACTTGTGGCAGGCCCATCTCAGATGCCTGGGAAGCCAACACAAGCAAACATAAATAGGATTTCTCACAGATACCTACTTTTAAAAAATTGCTAACTCTCAGATTGCTACTTCAACCCACAGCACAACTGACAAATCAGATTTTTCACTGAGAGAGAGCAGCTCCCAGCTCTGATCCAAAACAAGTCAGTCACAGATAGCACCTGAGGTCAAGAAGTTCTTAATTTTAATGTGGTAGGATTTCAGTATTTTCTTTTATGGTTAGCTAGAAAGACATTCTGTATTTTCTGCTGACAGTTTCCGAAGTTTACCTTTCTCAATTAAGTCTTTAATCCATCTGGATTTTTGTGTCTGTGGTGTGAGGTAGGGATCCAATACGCTTTAATATTTCCTGTGCTGCACAGTGTTTTCATGAGAATGGAGAGGAATGTAAGCATCCAGCCCTTACACAGTTCTGGACACATGCAAGGTAACTCTGTAAAAGTTGGTTGTTGCTATTTTAACCTTCAGTCATCTGTTTTTTCAGTTGATTGGTGCGTTTCATCATGAAATCATTAGTGTGTACATTTTAGGAAAGGCAGTTGAGGCAGGTTTGCATTGGTTAAGAAAACCAACCTGGGAACCCCACCCCCTAATTCTGCCCTAGTATTGTCAGAGGCTTGATCTGTGAGTTTAATCAAAGAGTAAATCATAATTAATGAGTTAATTGACTTGAGCATTTATTTCCTTTTGGATCTGGCTGGTGATTCAGAATTTCTTTGGCATCTTACCAAAATACCTTCTTCTTCTGCCCTGAATAATCAGATAGTCTTTTATTACAAGGTTAATCTCGTTTCTTTGGAATTTGCTTATTCAGCTCTATGTTCCCATAGATGTACCCTCTAAATACATCAGGATAGGTGGTGGGGGCTTCAGCTGTGATGCTGGAAGTTCTCCTTAAGTTAATTCCTGCTTGAATGTCTTGGAGCAGATTGTATATGCTGCATAGAAAACTTGCTTTGGGGGCCTTTTCCAATTTCTTAGCCATGCTTTAGTGGAAAGAAGAGGCAGAGAAATACTTCTTGGAAAATTAAAACTGTTTAGCCACACTCCTGGGGCACGTTGAATGCACACAATGAAATCTGGAAAGTAACACATGAAACTTTATAAAGTGAGCATAAAAAGCACCATAAAAATTGGAGGAATGTTGTCAGTTATATGGCTGAGGATGACTGCCCATTTATTGCTCAAGTGTGGTCACGGAGATTCACTTTAAGGCCAGAGGGCTCCTGGGCAGAAGCTAGGTGGGACTGCAGGCTGCTGTTTGTAATAGGGAACACTAAACCCAGTACCTGGGAGGTAGGTAAGCCTTCTGCCTGAGTTGTAAATTTACAGTCCATGCTTGAGACTTTTCAGAGATGCTCAACCACGTTGTGGAGGTGAGTTTGTTAACCTCCTGGACGGTTTCCAGGGAGGTGAAAGGATGGAAAGACTCATAATGAAGGATGACCCCTCTCTCTTTCCCTGCCTATATGTTCTTCTCATGGACTTCTGGAATGGATTCTGTAGCAGATATTGTTGGTGTGCTGCTCGGATCCCCCTTTACTGGGCCAGTGCACCCAACCCTCGGCTACTGCAGGGTTAGTTACTAACACCTCACGCTTGTATCCTTCACTGTAAGATTCTGCCTTGCCAGATAGGAGACCCATAGCCTAGAGATGACTGGGAGGCAGTACCTCGTCCTCTGCCCTGGGGTGGCCTGTACCCAATGACTGACATCACTGACTGATGTCAATGATTGGGGGTATAAAACCCCAATCTTTGCTTCTAGGCAGCAAAAAAGTTTATAGTGCAGTTCAATCCAGAGTTCTCTGTGGGATCAGACTGAGGCTGGCTTGTCTCAACCCCCATCTTTTCCTTTCCCATGCAGCTTCCCTTACTTTCTTACCAGGTTCTCCCAAGAGTGCTTTCTCAAGCACACATTTGCACAAGAATCCTCACATCAGGCTCTTCTTCTAGAGAACATGACCTAAGACAGACTCTGTTTCTCTTTTCTGGTCTATCACAGTTTGCTCAGTATGTGGAGTGTTTACATAGGAGTCCTCCCTGCCCCATTAGGTTCCATTTTTTATTTTTTGGTGAGGCAGATTATCCCTGATCTAACATCTCTTGCCAATCTTCCTCTTTCTTTTTGCTTGAGGAAGATTGTCCCTGAGCTAACATCTGTGCCAATCTTCCTCTATTTTGTATGTGGGATGCCTGCCACAGCATAGCCTGGTGAGCGGTGCATAGATCTTTCCCCGGGATCTGAACCCGTGAAGCCCATGCCGCCAAAGCGCAGTGTGCAAACTTAATCACTATGCCACAGGGCCGGTCCTCTGTTAGATTCTTTGTGTGTGTGTGTGTGTGTGTGTGTGTGTGTGTGTGTGTGTGTGAGGAAGATCAGCCCTGAGCTAACATCCATGCTAATCCTTCTCTTTTTGCTGAAGAAGACCGGCTCTGAGCTAACATCTATTGCCAGTCCTCCTCCTTTTTTTTCCTCAAAGCCCCAGTAGATAGTTGTATGTCATAGTTGCACATCCTTCTAATTGCTGTATGTGGGACGTGGCCTCAGCATGGCCGGAGAAGCGGTGCGTCGGTGCGCGCCCGGGATCTGAACCCGGGCCACCAGTAGTGGAGTGTGCACACTTAACCGCTAAGCCACGGGGCCAGCACGTTAGATCCTTTTGAGGGCTGGTTTCAAGTGTTGTTCATCTTTAGACTTCCACCAAACCTCCTAACATTATGCCCTGTGTGGTGCTTGTCAAAAGAATAACTGAGTGAGGGAAGGTGGTATATGCAGAGGCTGAGGGGGGCTCAGAGGTGAATTCTCATGTTGGTGTAGGATCTGGCATTGGTCATTTGGACAGTTACCCACAAGCAGGGAGTGGACAAAACATGGTTCTGCCTTTGTGAGGAAGTCAGCATTCGGATTTCCCACTGTTGGTGATGCTGTTGAAGCTGCTGTTGGCTGGTGAGCTGGGTGAAGGAAGGTGCCACTAACAACAACAAATCTCAGTTTTTGCTCTTCACCTTTACCCCACAAATACGCCTGCTGTAAATGTGTTGTTTGGAAGATTTGGGATACCCGACTCAGATATTGATAATGGAGCAGGGGGTTAATGAGGCATCTAGGAGGATTTAAAAGAATTCATAAAGGGAAATGTGTCACTTTTCATATTGGGCCATACACTGAGTTCTTGACTGGGAGAAGGAAGAAGGAGAAGCCTTCCTTGGTGATAACCAGCAGCGAATAGTAGTTCTGGAATATTCAGAAGTATTCTGGCAGATCAGTACTTGAAGAAATTCAGCCAGCACTTTTTTGCTGTGGGAATTCATTTGGCAGCAAGAAGTGTTAAAGGAAGAGCTTTACTTATATTCTCTGCTTCCTGATATTTAAGGAATTCATTTCACTTGCAGTGTAACACTGGTCCATTTTCGTTCCTTTACAAAGGACGGACGGTGCCCCTGTGAGATGTGCAAGATGGTGGCTGAAACTGCTTCTCTTAAAGTTAACTTCTTAGCAACCCATCTAAAATGATTACGGAAGGTACGAAATTGGGGTCAGCAGGGATCTTGGCAATAGGCAAGCAGCCAGATCCCTCTCAGGGAAGTTTGAGGTATCTAGACTTGACGCTTTTGAACTCTTGGTACACTTCCAGATCCTTGTTTGGCTCCTAGCTACTTCTGTTGGAATTTACACAGTTCAGAGAGGTTTGTTAGACTTACTCTCAGCTTCCCTTAAATCAACTGAAAAAGTGACCACTTTTATATTCATCAAAGAGTCTTCTCTTTGCTCAGTATGCCTTCCCTGAGATTGATTTATTTACCCAAGATGACTTCCATTTTCCTTTTTATCTTAGCTTTTGGAGTAAGAGTTAGTCGAGTCTGTTTGTCTTATTTTTCCTTTTGGTTTGCAGCAGATCTTGATACAATACAGTCTCCTGTGTATATGTAGTTACTGAAGTATTAAATATAAAATATTTACCTTTTTTTCTTTTGAAGTTATTTTTCCTTAAGTATCGATATTGCAAGTTTCCATCCCTCTGTCTTTAACTGAAGGAGAAAACATTTTTTGAGTATTTCATTCACCCATTGAACAAACGTTTAATTGACTACTTGCCATCTCCTACTCCTGGTGCAGCCAGCAGCAAATAGCTCATAGGCCCTGTCCTCAGAGAGTTTACGTTCTGGTGAGGCAGATGGACAAGTAAATTTCAGAGTAAAAGGGGTGGTGGTATTAATAAGCATGGGGAGCTGTAGGAGCCCAAGGGAGATTCCTAATCCAGTGGGGGGGGGGGTTGAGAAGACTTCCTGGAGGAAGTGACATCCACATTGAGTCTTGAAAGACTGTAGGAGTCGATCATGTCAAGAGTCTGGGGCTGTCTAAGCAGAAGGGGCCAGAGGTGAAAAAGGACATCATCTGTTTGGGAAAATTTAAGAACTTCAGTGTGAGAGCAGCATAGTCCATGAAGGAAGGTGAAGGAAGAAGGGGTAAGTGTGGACACTGGAGAGGTAAGTAGGTATGACATTCCAAAGGCCTTTGTTGTCAGGTCACGGGCTCTCAGAAAAATATTTAAGCAGGGAAATAACTTGATCAGATTTTAATTCTAGCGAGCTTACTGTAGTTGGCTTTAAATCAGTCAATCAACCAATCAGTCACTCCCTTTGAGGTGTAATTTATATACACTAAAATGGCTAGATCCTAGTCAATGGCCAGTTTGGTTGATGTTTTGATAATTTTATACAGTCACGTTACAAACCAGATATAGAACATCTCCATTACTCCAGAAAATTCAGTCACCCAACCCCCACCTCCCTATAGCCACTTACTGACTTTTATCTCCAGTTACGTCTTTCTTGGATTTTTATGTAAATAATACTCTGTTGTGTCTGACTTTTCTCTATCAACGTAATTTAAAACTCGTCCACATTGTTGCATTTACCAGTAGTAGCTTCTTTTTATTGCTGAGTAGTATTCCATTGTATGGACGAACCACAGTTTGTTTGTCTATTCTTCTGTTGATGGACATTCAGGTTGTTTTTAGTTTTTGGCTTTGATAAATAAAGTTGCTATAAACATTCTTATATAAGTCCTTTTTTGTGCATGTATATTTTCATTTCTCTTAGGTAAATAATAATGAGATTGCTGGATCTGGCTGTTTTTTAAAGAATATATTGGAGTGGAAGGGCTGAGGACAGGGAGGCCATGGGGTACAATCCAACAGAGATGGAAGTATTCAGAAATAAGGTAATTTAATACTGGCGGTGGATAATAGTGAAAAAATCACTATAATGAGGAAGTTGAGGGACTAAGTGATGGACAAGATGGAGATAAGAGAATAAAAAAGATCGCTGGATGTGAGAATGGAGGGCAGTGTTTTCCCCTGAGCCAGGGAATGCAGGAGGTGCAGGGTTGGGCTGATGGTAACAGGTTTAGTTTGGGGCAGTTGAGTTTGAGATATTTGCAGGCAGGAGAGAGGGCCAGGAGGCAACTGGCTCCATGAATCTGGAGGCCAGAAGAGAGATCTGGCCTGCAGGTATGGGGCAGGCAATGGGCACTATGGAGAAGGTCACGGAGGCCATGGGAGTGGAGGAGATCACCAAGACGGGGAGAAAGATCCACAGACTGGGAGAAGATATTTATGACACATCATCCTTGATGCAGCGTTTGGTTTCAGAGTATATTAAAGAACTACTAAATATCAGTAAGACAGGATAAACAATCTAATAGAAAATGGGCAGGTGATAAAATGAGGCTCCTCAGATGAGAATAAACAAGAATAGCCATTAAACTCGTCAAGCTCTATCCATTTTACTAGTCGTCAGAGAAATGCAATTAAAACCATAACAACACACTATTCCACATCCTTTAGATTGGCAAAAACAAAAAATTCTCAGCGACAAGTGAAGGCAAGGATGGGAAGCAATGGGGACTGTGATAGGCGTGCAAATGAGTACAACCTCTATAGAAAACAGTTTGTTTTATGCAGTAATAAGAATGAGCATACTCTATAGGAGGGCAGTAATTTTACTCCTGAGCATATATTCAAGTAGATCTCTCTCACAGTTGTAGCAGAATATATGCACACAAAGGTTTATAGCAGCTGTTTATATGCATACAAATATGGAGACAGAAGAATGAATAAATAAATAAAGTATAGTTATTCAGCAGAATACTGTACAGCAGCGAAAATGAATGCACTTGAATAGCAGGTAGCAACATGGATGAATCTCACAAACATAATGTTAGGAAAAAAAAGCAAGTTGCAGAAGAGTATGTATAACATGATGCTCTTTTAAGACATTTTACACCGAGGAAAATAGTATTAATATTGTTTAAAGGCCCACATCCAAACATAATAAAAATGGGGGAAAATGCCAAATTAGAATTGTGGTTTCCTCTAGGAGTATGGGAGGGGTGGCTAGCAGGGGTCTCTCATCTGGTTGATGGTGCTTTGCTTTCTTCAGCAGGTGCTGAGTACATGAGTGTTCACTGTCGTCTCTTCATACCTTTTTGCATTGTTGAATGATTTAAAAAGAGAGGGAGCTGAGGACAGAGTCTTGGCAACACCAACATGTAAGGCAATGGAACTTAAAATGTTTTGACTCTGACCCACAGAAAGAAATGTTTTATATTCCTCATGTACACATGTATACAAATACAAACAAGACAGAGACAAAAGTTTCATGAAAGATCTTTATCTTAGGAGATATTCTCTGGTAGTTTCTATTTTATTCCATTTCATTTAAAAAATATATTGGTTGTGACCTTCTAAGTCAGTGGTTCACAACCAGGAGTGATACCAGTCTGACAGTGTCTGGAGTCGTTTTTGATTATCATGACTGCATCTCGTGAGTAGACGCCAGGGATGCTGCTAAACAGCTTATAAAGCACAGGACAGTGCCAGTGCCCCCCCTCCCCCCAGCCAAAGAATTATGCAGCCCAAGACGTCAGTAATGCCAAGGTTGAGAAACCCTGCTCTAAGTTGATTTCCTGACGTAGGTTGAAGGCTTACAGTGTGAAAAGCAGTGATGTAAGGCAGGGGGAAAAGATTGGTTAGCCAGATACAAGGAAAACCAGGAGTGTGTGTGGTAAGAGGAGGCTGAGGGAGGATGTTCCAGAGGAGGAAGTGAAACGTGGTCTGAAATGTATTCATGGACTTTGGCAGCTAAGACTGTGCTGATGTGCTGGTGACGGCGGCTAGGGGGGTTTCCCTGGAGGTGTGGGGAAGGAAACCATAGTTAATGGAGTGGGGAAAGAAGAGGGGAGAGATGTCTCAAGAAGCTTGGCTGTGAGGAAGAGGAGGAGAATCATAGAGCAGGCCGTAGGTTTGAAGCAGAATTTTTTTTTTTTCAAGATGGTAGAGTCTTGGCACATTAAAATGATGATGGAAGGGAGCTGGTAGAGAGGAAAGTTTGAGGGCAGAAGAGAAGGTTAACTGAGTGGAGCCAGTGCCTGGGAAGTCAGGAGTGGACAGAGTCCTGAGCAGGGCTGCATGCTGGGTTGAGGAAGGAGGAAAGAGGAAGGATACAGATGAAGGTGAGTTTGCGGGTAAGCAAGAAGTCGAAGGCTTTCTTGCTTTGTTCTCTGTGAAGTAGGAGGTAAGGTCATTTTCTGAGAGTGGAGTGGGAGGAGAGGGAGGTCATAGTCTCTGAGGCTTAAGTCAAGTGGAGGAGTTTTGAAATAGCCTTTAAGGGGACTGAGAGAAGAGCTGAGCAGGTTTGCTGGGCAGCGCTGAGGGCCTCTTGAGAGTGGAGACGATGAATCTGTTAAGACCTCAGCGTTAGTGTATGTGTGGTTTTTTCCTTGGTGTTGAGTGTCCTGGAGAGAGAAACAGAGGAGGTGTTAGGAGGAAGGATCTGGGGTTGGAATTTGGTTGGATGGGTGTATATGAGGTGCAGGGGAGTTGAGATCATTGTCCCGTGAGTCGTTCATGTAGGATGGAGGAGAAAATAGGTGAAGACAGAGGACTGTGAGAGAAGTAGAAAATAGAGCGATTGGCAAATTGGAGTGTAGTGAGAGAAGCTGTGAGAGACATCTGAAGGGGAAGGAGTTTATAGAGGATAAAAGGAAGTGGAGTGAGATGTTTAGAGGTACTGTCAAAGGTGGAGTAGTTCTGAGTGGTTACGGGAATGTCCAGGATAGATCTTTGCGACAAAGGCAGTAATACAGAGAAGGAACTGACTGCACAACGTGCTTGGTGAATTCTGAGGTCATTTAGAATGACAGCTGGACTTGGGGTCTCAAGGAAGACTGAGCCAGGTGACAAGGTCTTCAATGAATGGGAAAGAATGACTGGTAGGGGTAGATGGAAATTCACTCAAGGGTGGAGGACTCTTACTTTGGCTTTGGAGAATAAGAGGCTGCAATGTGTTTCCATCATAAGTTCCAGTTTTAGCCAAGACAGGAAGAGAAATTGAGGTGAGAGGTGGTTTCCAGCGGTACAGTAGAAAGGTGATGTAGGAGGGTGGGAATGTGAGTGTAAGATTATGGGAAAGGATGGATGGGGCCAGGAAGGAACTTAAACTTGGGATAGGGCGGAGAGGCATGATGGGGGTGAGTAGCTGTATGGTTCTCTTGGCTCCCCTGTGGTTGGGAGGATCCAGTCTTCTCTCTGGAAGCAATTTGGGAAGTGGTCTGCTGAACCTAAAGTGATGCTGTCCAAATTTCTGACTTGGAGTGAGTTGGCTATGCCTTCTCTTTTGTGAGTGATGACAGCCTCTCAAGAGAATGGAGAATCCATATAGCTAGGAGTTGCCACTAAAAGGCCTTTCATGGCATCTGAATGTTTCATAGTCCTTTGACTTTCTAGAGGCCTGTCTACTGGAGAAGTGAATATTCTCAACTGCTTTTTTTCTAGAAAACAGGAGGATAAAAAGACCCCGTGGGGCTCAGTTCCATTCAGTGCCCTCATAAAATGGTGTGATAAGCCATGCCTGGTTTTTTAAAGTCAGCAGTGAATAAACCTTTCCTGTTATAGAGCATGGGATTCCACTGGGGAATTTAAACACATTTTCCTTTGATCACTTAAATGAAGTGTTGCCTTTTTTCATGAAAGTTTTATATATTTGACCTATTTAATTTTTTTCTTCAGGAAATAAAAGATGGCATTTTCTTACTTCCCTTCCAAAAAAGAGAGGCATTGGATTTTTTGGCAAGGAAATACCTGCGTGCGCTGTGGAAATGGACAGTGTTTAGAAATGTGAAAAATGTAGTCTACCCCCCCTCCCTTTTTAACTATCAAAGTGAATTAAAAGAAGTGAATATTTTAATGGAACTGGATATGATTAATGGCTTTTTGGGAAAGCTTTAGTATCAAAATGAAAAATTATGTTTTGATTATTTTTCTTATTTTTTTTAAAAAATGTGAACATTTGTTCTTGGAAGCAATCCTGGCACCTGTAACAGCATTTAATTAACAGCAGCCTCCATGAGATATCAAAGAGTGATGGTTGAAAAGATTGAGTAAAAACATACAGGAAGGGCTGACTCAATAAATAAATGCTAAGCCCCAAATTGTTTTGATACTGTGATAAGAAAATGGGAGAAGAAAGAAAAGTAATTAAAGCATGAGTAGCTGAACCAAAGGATGTGTGAAACTTGGGAGAAGCTCTGGAATGGACGTTGAAAGGCCAGATCGAAATGTGAGAACGGAGGAAAGTTACATAAAGAAATGACAGTTCTGGAGTTGAGAAGGGATGATGAAGAGGGAATGAGGCGCGCCAACCTGTAAAGGCATAAAGGGAAAAGAGAAATGATTTTTCTCACTGAAATTGTGGCTTTACGTAAAAGTGAAAACACATCAGATCCTGATTGTAGAATTCTGTTATTGCTTCAGTAATTTTATTTCCAGAACCTTTTGTTTGTTTTTATTTTTATTTTTTTTTTGAGGAAGATTAGCCCTGAGCTAACATCTGTTGCCAATCCTCTTCTTTTTGCTGAGGAAGATTGGCCCTGGGCTAACATCCGTGCCCGTCTTCCTCTACTTCATATGGGATGCTGCCACTGCATGGCTTGACAAGTGGTGTGTCAGTCTGCACCCGAGGTCCGAACCCACGAACCCCAGGCCGCTGAAGCAGAGCACGCGAACTTAACCGCTATGCCACTGGGCTGGCCCCAGAACTCTTTGTTTAAATGCAACATATTCCCTTTACTTTGCCAAGTATGAAAACAGACTCTTGCATAAGAACAGATTTTTTCTTCTTTTAGTTTTCAAAGCAGTATTTCCAAGATGTGTTGCACGGAATGGTGTTTCAACATGCTGTTCAAAGGAAATAAGGAATTTTGTGTTCAAAGAAGTTTGAAAAGTACTGTGTTAAAAAAAGGTAAACAAGTTTATTTACTGCACAGTTTCTCAGGGCCTTTAATATCAAATATACATTTTGAATTTCTGAGATAAATGGGATGGACCTTTTAAATTGCTAAACAAACATTCAGGCTCTCATTTCTTTTTGGAAATCTGATTTTGCTCTAGGTGGCAATGTACTGAGTTAAAAATTCTCACCTCCCCAGACTCCTTTACCACTAGCAGTGACCCGGTACTGGCCAGTGAGATATAAGTCAAAGTCTGCAGGGTGGGGGCTTCCAGGAAAGCTAGTGCTTTCTTGATAAACAGGATCGAAAGAGGCTGGCACACACCTTTGCCATTGCCCTTTCTACCTTTCTCCTGCCTGAAGGAGCTGTAACCAACTTGCACCAGGAAAACAAAAGCCACATGCTAAGAGTTACAAATCAGAAAAATGGAAGGAGTTCTTGATGGCTTCATGAAGCTACTCTACCAGCCTTGGACACTCCATGTTTGGACTGATTGTTTTAGTAGAAAAATAAAGCCCTTGGGTGGTGAACATGAGAACATGATGTGATCTATGCAGAAATAGAAGTATAATGATGTACACCTGAAATTTATACAATGTTATAAACCAATGTTACTGCAATAAAAAAAGAGAAAGAAAAAAAAGATAAAATATATTAAAAAAATTTTTAAAAAAGAACTAAGCTACAGGTAATGTGAAAAAAAAAAAAGAAAAAGAAAGCCCTATTTGGTTAAACCATTGTAGTTGAGTTTCTATTACATGCAGCTGAATGCAATCCTAATTTACACGAGGGTGATGTAGTAAGCGGTAATTGAACTTACTTTAACCATGGGAACTTGTTTTGTTTTTGAAACTGTGTAGAAGACTCTTTGGAAAATGCTGCCTTAAAGAATATGAATAGAAAGGTAGTCATATATATTTAGCCCTTTTTCTACAAGTATAATTTTCTGATGTTCTTTGAATGTAGAATTAAGGTTTTCAATTTTGGTCTTTTTCTTCTATTCTTATCTCTTCCTCTCATGAGACATTTTTGCTTATTTTTTAAAAAACTTTAAAATTTTTTTATGCCTCTTACCAAAGCACTTTATTTTTTCAATTTATTTATTTTATATATATATATATATTTTGTGTGTGTGTGTGTGTGTGTGTGTGTGAGGAAGATCAGCCCTGAGCTAACATCCGATGGCCAATCCTCTTCTTTTTGCTGAGGAAGACTGGCCCTGGGCTAACATCTGTGCCCATCTTCCTCTACTTTATATGGGACGCCACCACAGCATGGCCTGACAAGGGGTGCGTCGGTGTGCGCCCGGGATCCAAACCCCAGGCCGCCAGAAGTGGAGCGCGCGCACTTAACTGCTCCGCCGTGGGGCCGGCCCCCCAAAGCACTTTATACATGCCAGGTGTTTCGAAAACCGAGATGGTTTTTTTAGCCTATTCATGCCTTCTTTACACAATAGAATTGTTCTCAAAATTTGTAGGTGAATTGACTCAGAAGTACATTTATTTCTATCATAATATCAGAGATGTTTAGTTTCTTTTGAGTGATTTTATTCTTGACTATGCCACTTAACACTGTTTCTTCTTCTTCC